GCCTTCCTACTTTAAATGTCTCTTCTCACCCCCCCCCGGACCCGAAACACATGAGAAAAAAAAAAAAAAAAAAGGCGCCACCAAAAAAGAGAAACTTCAAGAAAAGAATGTCCCAGTTGCTGAAGAAAAAAAAACCCTTTTCAAACAAAATTATATATGGAAAAGAAACCCCGGGGAAAACCGACTCACAAAGATTTTTTTGAAAAAGAGAACCAAGAGTTTCCCTCTCCGCCCTGCAAGGATTGTTACGATAGCTCGGGGAACGACCAATTTCCCCTTTTATCCGTTGGTTACGTTCTGTCTGCTCTTTTTCGCATGCTCGTTCTGTTCTCTGTCCATTTTCTTCCCCCCAGCCTGTACCCGTTAGAACGCTCGAATTCCGTTGTACAACGTTTCCCCAAATTTTTCCAACATCGCCCTATACCCCCCCCCCCCAACCAAACAATCGTTATATCTGCCTCAGTTTTATGCGCAAGTACATCACGCTATCGCGATCGTTTTCCCCGTTTTTTAACTTAAACATCTCGTTGCGTTGCCGAACTTCTTAACGGCCTCACCGTCGCCTCTCGAAACATCAAACTCGGACGAAATCCCTTTCCCCCCATGTTTCAATTCTGAGCTTGCAATTTCGTTTTGATATCGTCACATTTTGCCTCAGCTTCAAGATACCCACTTCGCCCGTGCTTTCCACAGCCTGCCTTGACTTCGAGAGAAAGCAACAGAAGCTGTTATACGTAGAATTGCTCTCGAGACTCGGCTGCATTTTTGCTTGCCCTTTACTACTTTTACGATCATTTATTCGATACGCCCTGCAATCTCTGGCGATTTATGATAGTTGTTGTCTCCTGTCATTTTCGTGCTCTATATCCTCGTTTGTTCTGATGTTACTCGTTTTATTTTTATAAAGACCTTAACGACTTCAAGATTCAACGAACCCCACCCCCCAAAACCCACACAGCACGACCCTCCTCTGAAACAGAGCTTGTTTGTTCCGCCGTATAATCCTCGAAAACTCTACCCCCATCGCCGTTCACTTTTTCTGATGGGCTATTGTTACGACCGGAATCACCACTCAAACCCTAGAACCTCGCACACTTCCAACGCTGGACAATAATCTGCTATCTTGCCGCTACCAGATCGTATAGAAGGCACCAATTTAATTGATTTTGCCCTAAAAATCAATAATCTTAGCTGCGAAATTTTCCCGTCTCCAATCGACGTGACATTCAAACTTTTTCTCGTACAGGATCAGCTCGTCCTGTTTTAGTCCGTGAGGTCGAACACCGAAAAGCTGGAGCTGCCGTCGATCTCCCAGGTTCACACTCGACTTCCCACTGATATACCCTGGTATAATCATCACGCTGCAGAACGACCTCTGATAGGCGGTGACAGATTACCTGCCCTTTTCCTTCCTCACGCACAGCAATCCTCCTCTTCAGGTCGAATAGGCTCTCAAGACTCGTCGATATCTACGGTCTCATCGACTGGCTCGAACAGCGCCAGCTCCGTGGCCAGCTACACGACGTATTCTCAAGCCCCCACGGGCGAAGCCAAGAACCCTCCTCCTTCGTCCACTGACGGGGCTGGTGGGGTTCGTTCCCGATATTCCCTGGAGTCTACGAGCCAGCCGGATTATCTCGCCGGAGGAACTGTGAGTGAGGGATATAGCATTACCCAAACAGCGCTTGGAAGTATGAATCAAACACAGTCTTACCTGGATGTACATACATCACATTTGTCATCCGCACAGCCATACTCATCCCATGGCACCCCCGCTTCGAGTATTCCGCCTTACCAGTATTCCCAGCCTCCAGTCCTGCAGTCTGGGTCGTCTTACAGTTCAAGTGGAGCCTCGTCGTACCCTTCATATGGATATCCTAATGGCGTTACCTCTCCACAATCCGCGACCCAGGCGGTCACAAATGCCCTTTCCTCCCATGTACCCGCTCAAATACTTCCCTTGCCCGGTAAGTTTTTTTTTTTCTCTTGTTTGTTTTGATTTGTGTCATACCACTGGGGAGAGAACCCGTCACATGGGTGTGGAGCGAGCTAAGCTAATCAAATCTGTTTTTTTTATTTTTAATTTTTTTTTAGCAATGACTGCGACAACTCCAAGCCCTCATTCATATATACCAAGTCATGTTAATCACCCCCAATCATACGTGCCACATACATTTGATACCACAGGCCAGATACCACCGCCTGGTGCCAAACCGAGGGTTACGGCTACGTTGTGGGAAGACGAGGGAAGCCTGTGTTTTCAGGTGGAAGCTAAGGGTGTTTGCGTTGCGCGAAGAGAAGGTTCGAACATACATCCATACTTTTATTTATTTCCCAGTCAAACTTTTCTTCGCTTAACTGACCATTTATTTCATAGATAACCACATGATTAACGGAACAAAGTTACTCAATGTTGCCGGCATGACACGAGGACGACGGGATGGTATTTTGAAGAGTGAAAAAGTCCGCAATGTAGTTAAAATTGGGCCTATGCATCTCAAAGGCGTTTGGTATATATATACTTCAGTCTGTGGTTGGTTAAATTGTCCAAGATTTTGCAGCTAACTCGACCACTAGGATTCCGTTTGAACGAGCCCTAGAATTTGCCAACAAAGAGAAGATCACGGAGGAGCTTTATCCATTGTTTGTGCATGATATCGGAGCGCTACTATACCATCCCACCAACCCATCGAGTAGTAGAGGTGGTGCTCTTTCAACAAGGAACGATCAGAGACGTTTTGAAGCAAGTCAGGCCTCTCGATCGTCTCAAGGAGGGCAACCACCGCCTTTACATCATCATCATTCGATGCATAACCCTCTTACATCCCACTTGTCCCAGCCTCCTCATTCCATGGGCCCTCATTCTGGGCATACGCGCCCAGGGTTTGATCGTTCTCACACCTTTCCCACCCCGCCAACCAGCACATCCAGTCTGATGGGAATCGGAAGCCAAGGTGGATCCTATGAATGGCCCGGCCAAAGCATGGGAACTGGTGTTCAGGGTTCACAAACTCTCTCGATCGACACGGGTTTAACAAGTGCAAGATCGATGCCGACAACACCTGCCACAACACCCCCCGGAGCCAACCTGCAGAACATGCAGCAGTCATATCAAAGCCAACCAAGCTATGACACTTCAAAATCATACTATTCTGCCGCCCCTACATCTCAAGCGCAATATGCGTGGGACCAG